CCCCGGTCCTCCAGGCCCCCCGCGCCCCGTGGGCCCCGCCCCCGCCCCGGCTCTAGGGGCCCCAGGTGGGGAGGGGAGGGGGGAATGGCGAGTAGGGGCCAGACCAGACACCCGATAAGAAGTCCGCTTGTGTGACATTTTAAGATGCAGCCCGCCCGTTTACAGCCTTTCTCGTGCGGCGACCGAAGTGGCGGGGGTTGGGGACGAGGTGGGGAATGCACACTGTCTAGCCTGTCACCGAGGTCCCCCATAGGGAGGAGACTTGGTATATGACTACCTTACCCGAAGATGAAGTCCACTCGGTTTTCCTTCTCCTTTCTCCAATTTCAAGCCTCAAGTGCTCACCCAGTGCTGAGTCACACGTCTCACGTGCCAAAAATTAAACCCTTGGTAAAATGGATAGCATTAAGGACAAGAGTGTGCGCAGGTGAACTTATTTAGCAGCAGTGGACTTGTTGAGGCAATTTTTGGATCCCCTCTGGATTTCGGGGTTTGGTGGGTTAGTTTGTTCATTTGGGTAAAAGCAGTGAAGTCGATAGTCAGCGCAGATCCTGGTATTCCAGGGACCTGAGTCCCTCTGAGAGTTATCGGTGAGGCCAGTTTATTTTTAATTCACTTGTTGACCACACGGAGCCCTAATTACACATTAGGAATGTGCTTAAGTGCCTGCACCTTCTCATTCATTCTCACAACAACCCAATGAAGAAGGAGCCAGTTTGCAGATAAGGAAAACGAGGACCATAGAAACGAAATAACTTGCCCAAGGTCGCAGTAAAGTTAAATATAAATCTCTCAGTCCTTAAAACGTACTACAACCTTAACTAAAGCTGCTTTTGTCCTGGGACCTCTCTCTGCCTGGGTTCAAAACCTGACCCCACCACTTTCTAGCGGGGTGACCTCTGGGGAGTCAATTTCTCTAAACCTCAGTTTTCTCATAAGTTAAAAGAGAGAGGAAGAAAAAGGTTTAATGCTATCCTCTCCCAGGCTCTTGTGATAAATAAATGCGTGTCTGTGTTCCATACTTACTCAGTAAATGGTAGCTATTTATTTCGGGTCATGTTACACTATGTGTTTTATATCCTCAGACTAGACTGCAAACTGCGCGAAGACAGGGATCATCTTTTTCAGGTGTCTACAGGCTTGAACTGTTGTCAAGAACTCATATTTGGTACAGCTGACCATAAAGATGCATCACATTAATCATTTAACACAAATGTCAGCACCTGATGAAGGACTTCGCCCATCCCACTTGCTCTCTCATTCTCTTTGCCCTACAGGAAGTTCTTGAAATTTCACAGGAAGAAACGAAAGTTATCTGGGAGAGGATGAAAGTCACCACAATTAGTTGGGCAAACGACATGTTTATGACCCTTATCAAGTCGTTGTGTGAGTCAGGCAGATGGGCTGTTTATTACCAAAGTAGTGAAAGGGAACTTAACTCTGATCTTGAGTTTCTAATTAAAAACAAAATAAAAGTAAAATATAATTACTATATGGTTATTTAAAACTTACTCTCCCAAGAGGGAAAAGAAACTAACCATGTTAAGCATCTGCCTGGGGTTTAAGTATAGGGCTTAAGTGTGTGGGCTTAGAGTCATTGTTACCTACAGCGTCTTAAAGAAAAAGTCTCCTTGGATTGACCTTGCTGGGTTACTCCAGGTTTCTTCCACTCTCCCTCTCTGTTAGAATAGAAACAGAAGTTCACTTTGCACAGTCCATTTCCCTTCCTTCTGGAACATGTTCCAGCATACCAGCCCTCTTCCCAGGCGCAAAGTCATGTTCCAGGGATCTCAGCTAAGAACTCAGAAGGGTAGAGGGGAAATTATTTTTTCTCCCCTACGATTTGTTATTTTAAGTTACAATCTTACCAAGTCTGTATGCAAAGTTGCAACAGTCACAAGAACAGAAGGTTCAACATATTTATTTTTTTTAATTTAGTAGTTTTATGAGTTATTTAAATACATGGGAAGATTTTATTTGTTAAGTCAATTGAAGCACTAAAAGGAAAAAGAGTATTTTAAATTTAAATATGCAGTGTAACACGTTTAAGAGAAATTTAATAACATTTATAAATAGGACTAAACATTTTCAAAGGCTTCATGGGAAAATTTGCTAAACTTAGAATAATATAACGAGGAACCTAAATTTGAAAGCTTAAAGAATTTAAGGTTTTAAAAGTGTAAATTTTGGGGGGGAGTGGATTTTAGCACTTATATTTGTTATAAACAAATTACCAAAAAAATAGCTTTACAAACATAATTTCTATAGGTCAGACATTTGGGCATGGCTTACTTGGGTTCTTTTGCTTCAAGGTTTTATCAGGATGCAACCCAGGTGTTGCCAGAAGGATGATCTCATCAGAACCTCAACTGGGGAAAGACCTGCCTCCAAGCTTCCTCAGATGGTTGTGAGAATACATTTCCTGCAGCTGCAGAAGTGAGGGTTTCAGATTCCAGCTGGAGGCCTCTCCTAGCACCTAAAGGCTGCTTACAGATCCTGCTATCCAGGCTTCTCCAGCATGGCCACGTGCTTCCTGAAAGCATGCATCTTCAGGGCTGGCAATAGAGGGAATCTGAGCTTGCTAGCCAGATGGAGTCCTGTTTAACAGAATGTCATCCCTGGAGTTAATAGTTCATCACTGTGCTGTATTCTGTTGGATAGAAGCAAGTCAGAAGTCCCACCCACACTCAGCAGGAGGGGATTATAAAAGGGCCTGAACTCCAGGAGGTGGGGAGGATAGGGACACCCCTAGGCCTGTCTGTCACACCGATTTTTCTACTAATTTTTTTTTTTCTGTTCCAGGATTCAAACCAGGATATTGCATTTTGATATGCAGTCATCACCAAGAGCTTCCTTAGTCTCTTTCAGTTCCTTGTCTTTCATGACCTTGAGACTTTTGAAGACAGCTGGTCATGTATCTTGTCCCTTAGTTTGGGTTTACGTGATGTTTTCTTAATATAAGACTTGACTTATGGGGGGTGTGTGTATGGGATACCACACAGGTGAAGCAGTCTTCTCATTGCCTTGTATCAGGGGGTTCGTAACATTAACGTGACTTATTACTGGAGATGTGAGCCTTGATGACTTGGTTAAGGTGGTGTCTGCCAGGTTTCTCCACTGCAGAGTGACCGTTTTCCTGTCTCCGTGCTCCGTTCACTAGAATCGAGTCTCTCGGTCCAGCCCTCATTCGAGGAGAGGGGATTTAGCTCCCCCTTGGAGGAAGGAGTATCAAAGAATTTGTGGATGTATGTTAATGTTGCCCAGTAATTAGCAAATAAATTTGGAGAACCATTTGGAGGCTATACAATTATCCTCTTTCTCATTAAAGTTTCTTCTAATTTTGCCATTCATGACTGAGAATTTTTTTATCATTTGCTTTCTCCATCCTTTACTAATATGAAAGTTACGTTCTTTGTTTCTGTTCTTTTATTCAGTCCCTAGAAATCATAACATGTGTGTTTAGCTTATTAAGTTCTTAAATGATCAAAAGCTTTATGCCTGTCCCCAGATAATACACGGAGTCCATTCATCCTGTTCCTGACTTACATGCTACTTTTGTGTGGTGTTTTGAGTCTCTTTGTCATTTATTTATTTTCACCCCAGCAGGTCAGTAAGTAATATCATTGCCGCTGTGTTGTTGGTGCTTTTAAGTCACCATCTAGTTACTTTTACCCACATATTACTACTTTATCCTTCTCGAATCTCAGGCCTACTATGTGGGTAACTCTCTTACTCTGAAGATCATTCTTTAGAATTTTTTTTTACTGAGCGTTTGCTAGTGATAAACTCTCTTTGTCAAGAGAACGTCGTGTGATGCAGTGGATGGAAATACGAGGAATTTCCCATGACTCCTATTTACAACACTTGTCTATCCAGGTACACCCACCGCGCAATCTGGGAGAAAGAATTCTGTAGGTAAAGGGCTCTATTATATAACTGAATAAGTATTTCTTGACTTGAGTCACTAAGCCGTTTCCATAAATGGGACAGATGCTTAACCTGTCCTCCAAGATTTCATCCAGGGACCAGGGCAGAACCTGGCGACTGAGAGCCAGAGCTACTTACAGGGCTTGCAGGTCTGCTTTCTCACCCAAACCTGAATTGTCTGGTTTCACTAGCACAGTGGTTTTGTTTGTCTTTTGTTTTGCTTTTCTTTTTTTCTTTCTTTCTTTTTGTAATGGAAAGTGCAGGCTGTTAGCAGATGATATATATTTTTTCCAGTTCAGGGCAGACCCCGCCAGGTTCTGCTGTACCACCCCCCGCCTGATTTACATGTTTGTTTTGCTTGCCTGACCTCCGCAGACATTTATTTGCAACTCCCAAATGACTTCATACCTGTTAATTATTGCTGTTTGATAAACATACACCCTGCCTTTTATTATTATTACTCAGCTGGTTAATGTTAGTCCCTGCTCCACCAACGTGAGCGTTTCACCGAGGTTTGTGTGATACAGAAGACAACCTAGTGAATCATGGCCTTTTTGCAAGACATTTGGGTTGAAATTCTTATTTAAGTGTTACAGACCTTAGGATCTTCTCATGTGAGATATGCTCTTCTTTTTCTCCAGACCTCACTGACCATCACTGTCAGGTTGGGCAGAAATCAAAGTGTCCTGTTTTTTCCCCTGGTAGACCTCTGTCCTCATTAACCAGGCATTTATGACAATGATGACAATCTCACTCCGTATCTATCGGATTCATTGATTCATAGAACACCATTCTCCAGTGCTTCCAAGAAACTTTAAACAAAAAGCAATCGAGTTTGAGTTCTAGAATGAGTCTCTGGGATTTGTAACAGAACCCAGAGCACGGGAGAGCTATTTCAGGCAGAAAATTTCTTGCAGAGAGCAAATGGAATGACAAAAGTTCTGAGTGTGGGACACATGTTTGGTAAACTGAAGTATTTTAGAATCTTTTCAAATACAAGGTGCTGTTAAGTCTCTTGGTGATAACCTTTGGCTGAGCTGCAGGGAGACTGGATAATCCCATTAGCTCCATCTTCTTCCATGCGGTGTCCTGGGCTATACCCCGACTCTCCTCGTTTCTCAAGCATCGTTTAGTGTTCCGGATAGCTTTAACAAAAGGAGAAAATCACCTGTCTGCTTTCTAATGTCTGCGATCCACTGGCTGCCAGGACTGCTGCATTCTTGCTTTTAGTGACTAGGTGGCCTGGAACAGCAGTAGTAAGAAGAGTTAAGCTTTTCATTCTGCTATTGAGAAGCCAATAACTAATTTGCTTTTTACTCCTTTAAGGTGATGAAAACTTGGAGGGGAAAAAGAGAGAGAGAGAGCAAGCAAGAGGGAGCATTTCAACACTCTTCTCATCTCTCGCCACCATGCTTTTGATTTATTATATTTAAAGGCAAGGGAGTCCTCCTCTGAGAGCAGAGCATAGTAAGAAATGAAGCACTGAGCTATTCTGGGCTCCTCAAACAGCAGATTATTTTTTCTTCCAATACCAGAGGCGGCAAACTCAAGTCAAATCTGGTCTCCTGGCTCTTCCCCATAACCTTTCAGGTGTCTAAATAAGTAGCTTCTCAAGACCTTCCAAACCAAGAGCTGAGTTTCTTCCCCTTGTTCTTCTTGTCCTCACGGGGCTGCAGTTGTTCAATACGGTTGCAAGAAAAACAGCCCCAAACTCAGACCAAAAACAAAAGCTAAATACTCACATAGCCTCTGGCTTCTGCAGACGTCTAACCACAATGTTCCCTCCTCCTGTATTAATGAATTAATGAAGTTCACGGGCAGGTTGTACAGAACAAGGTGACTTCTGCTTTTCTTTCTTTCCACTTGGCTCTTGACCTTCAGCCCATTTCCCTCACGAGCTGCCTTTATTTTCCTTTCCATTGATTCATAAAATTTTCCCCCCCACCTATTCCTCCTCAAGAACTAAAAATACCCCATTTGTTAAGAATCAGTAAGATCTCCAAGAAATTGACATCTCTCTTCTCCTGGACACGTTGGATTATTGTGTCGTGTTGTGTGTGTTCATGTAGCTAACACAACATTGGGCATAAAGTAGTTAGGCACGGGACAGCTCTGAGCAGTGCTAACTCACGTTTTTCATTCTTCACCAAAACTGAATTCAATTTACACCAGCATCACCAACACATGTGTGGAGCAGGGGCAGGCAGGAAATATGCATGAGTTAACTGGTCCTGGTGTAAGCCATCATTTCTTGGCCACTTCTCTTAAGCTTGGAGGAGAATAGAAATAAGGTTGAGGGGATTCTAGGGTCACTGTCAGTGTTTTTGGATAACTCATGCCTTTGAAGAAAGTAGAAACGGGAAGAACAACAACAAAAATATTTTACCTACAGATCAAGTTTTCGACTAGGAACAATTTTGCTTCCCCTGGGGATATCTGGCAATGTCTCGAGACATTTGTGGTTGTCGCCACGGAAAGTGGGAAGCAAGTGGCATCTGGCAGAGAGAGGCCAAGGATGCTGCTTAACACCCTGCAGTGTGTAGGACAGCCCCCACCACAAAGAATTACCCAACGTTAAATTTCAGTAGTGCTGGGGTTTACACACCTTGTCCTACACAGGTAAGAATTGGCACTTTCAATTTTTTTTCAAGTGTACCTCCAAGATTTTGTAAAGCTGCTTATTCTCTTGCATATTTTTTAATGAAATCTAAAATTTTAAATTATAAGTGTAGTTGCAAAAGATGTAATTCTTAGCTTATTCCAACTGAAAATGTTACATCATTT